CTGGGGGAGGGTCTATTTCTGCAGTATTTCAGTTCCATGCTAGTGTCAATGTGTCCATGTGCCTTCAACTCATTCACAACTGATGCACACAGACAAAAGGGAAGTTTTTGTGCTACTTAATAAAAAAGAAAAAATTCCTTTGAGGAGAGGCCTGAGATTCAAGTCTCACGTCAGATGCGGACGATCAGCTCAAGAACAAAGACAAGGAACACGAGAGCCCGGGGGAGGAGGAGCAGGGGGAGCTGAGCAGTGTGAGCAGCCCCGGGTGTCCTCCCGGGCGGCAGCCCAACTCCCGGCTGCCGTTCAGCCACAGCGCTCCGCTGGAAAAGCCAAACCTCACATCTTGATGTCATTATTTAGCTTTTATTAGAAAGCAAGTATTTAAACTTCAATAGTTCATAATAGTTGAATAACATTTGCACTTTAGCAGCCTTCCATAAAATTGAAAACATATTTAATACAAAAGAATAAAACCTGTTCAAGAGATAGAAGTCAGCAGTATCCCTGATAACACATTTGCTCAACATCTATATGTATGATTTAAATAACTAAATCTAATTTACATGCATCTCTGTATGAAATAACCAGACGCTCACAATTTGGAGGATATAAAAATCATTTTCATGACATTTTTGATGGCAAGATTTAAGAGAGATTCTATATAAAAAGGAGACAGATGTTCTAGTTCTCTATATTGGAATGAATGAATAAAAATGAAATACTTGAAGGGAACAAAAATTCAAAACTGTTTCTCATATTATCAGGCTAGTATCTTAACCTCCAAATTAGACAGTCACTTTCTAATATAGTTAGGAACCCAGTATATTCAAGAGGAAAGACCTTGACAGATTTCAAAACTAGCTGTAAAATGAAAACCCTGTTACTTGACTGCCCTTCCCTGCAAGACATGTTGGCACACAGAGCTGCATACCTAAAGTTAGCCCATGTAGCACTGTTCTTCCTACAAATTGCTAACTGAAGATGTGGTATGTGCATATATGTATGTCCCCATTACGTACACACAGGCACACAAAACAGACCTATGCATATCACAATGTGTGCACACAGAGCACATTTATCGTTAGAAGTGCAACTCGTGGTGAGAAACCTTGCAGGAAACACTGATGATCCATACTGCCAAGCAGCATGACGACTCGAAAGCAGCACATTTCTGCTGACAGGACACTAATGCACTTCATCTGTGGCACAGCAATTTAACTAACTCCTAGGCACTGTACAAGTTCCAGTTTGTGTACAGATATGGTGGAGTGCGTGTGCCAAGCAAGCAGACCAGGGAGGGGGGCTTCTCCAAAGGCTATACAGATACAGTCGTCTTTAAACAGAATTTATTTCAGGAGCAGATAAGTAAGACATAAAAGAAATAATGACTGGTAGTTCAATATGAAAGCAAAAATATATATTTAAGAATATTTTACACATATAACTTAAAACTAAGTCATATAATAAATATATGCAGTATGGTAAAATAAGAAATCCCTGGAAATGTGCAAGAAAGACTGACATGGCTGATTTTTTTTTTTTAATCTATTTACATTACCACCTAGCTTAGCTCTTGACAGCATCCTGCTGTCCCTATTAGCAGAGCTCCGTTTGCTGAACGCCAGGAGAGTTTCAAGCCACCCTCCCGAGCCCAGTTTTCCCGAAGGAAGGGCAGCCGGTGCCGCGGCGTGGGACAGCGAGCGGCACCGAGCTCGGCCAGACGCGCCCAGGCCAGAGGCAGGGGCCCCCGGGCACGGGGCGCTGCACCAGATCCGAGGGGTCTTTGGCAGGCAGCAAGCAGCAGTGCAGCTCCTCTGCCCCACGAGACAAAACAGGGAACGGGTACATGTTTTCGGTGAACCATAAATAGAACTAACAAACAAAAACAATAAAACTGCTCTAGAACTTGAGCTATAGAAACAGATGTTTCTGCTGTGGTGGCAGGAGGGGCAATATGCACCCAAGGATAGATTTCTCTGAGCAAGTTTACAGAGATGAGGCTGAGTAATAACAGAGTCTTAAACACAATAAAACAACAAAGAAAAGCGTGCTTGGTGTTTCAAAGAGAAATAGAGCATTTTCAATCATTTCAAGCATTTGGTCAACTCGTTAATTTTTGTTCCTCATTTACTCTGGGGCTATTCAGTCAGAAATGGTATTTCTGCAGGTGAGAACACTAGAGAAACAGAACTGCTTCTGGCACTGACACACGCATCCCTGACACTAACACTCGCTAAAACAAAAAAGTTAAATGCACATTTTTTGACTGGTTTCCATTTATCCTTCACCTCCCTGAAGTGTAGAAATTCATGTTGACCACTCAGTAAGTGCACATTATGCTTTCATGGGGCTTTCATGAATCTATTTAGTCATGAGAAGGAAATGAGCTCTCTGAAAAAGTCTTGTGCCAGTCTGACAGAACTACTTAAAAAAGTGCTATTTACATGTAAGAAAACAAAAATGGAAAAAAAAAAAACAGTAATCTACCACAGATGAAAATGAAACACTCAAAGAGGTTTTGTTTTTTTCATTGCACATTTGGAGAGTTTTTACAGCTGGCTATGCTGATCCACATGAAAACTAGGAGAGATTGCAGATCTTGTCCAATAACCCAAACCACTAAACAACCTTTTTGCATGCCCGTAACTTTAATGTTTAAAGTCATTCAACGTTTTTCTAGAGGTATCTTTTTATAGAGTAACATAAGCATGAAAATACCAGGAAAATCTTCAGCTACGTTAAAAGCAAATGAACCAAGAATCTCATAAGCAGGAAAGAACCAGACTCATCTCAAGCAACTGCACATACATGACACATTTAATTTAGAAGTGTAGTTATCAAAGGCTCTCCATACTGAACATAAGAAAGTAGGCACTTTAGAGGGCAGACAGTATTAAAAAAAAAATCAAAAATAACCTGCTATGCTTAACATCTATGCCTTCTTACCATCAAAGGAAAAAAAACAAAATAAAAAACACAAAAACTGAGGGCAATGGTATTTCACTTGCAATGACTTAGTTATCTAAGTTACATTAGATGAACCTAGGCCAATATCTCAGCTCCATATTTCTTGATTCAAAAAAAAAAAAACAGAGAAAATTGCAAAGAGAGAACTCAAAAAAAATTTGGTATTTTTCTCAAACATTAATTTTCTGTATATGAATTTTACTCATCAAGGAAATCCAACCCAAAAGATCACACAAAAATCCAGAGATACCAAAACAAACAAAACCAAAGCAGCAGCAGCAAACACAAGGCTACGAGACCCTCCGGTCGGTCTCCCTGACGCGGCCCCCTCGGTGCAGGGCGCTCTGCGCACTCCTCTCACCACCACCAAGGCACCCAAGGGAGCAGCTGTCCCAGCAGCAGCTGACACGCAGCTTGGTGACACTAAACTCTACTCTCGGCATCCCCTTCTTTCGGCATCAATAAGGAGGCTTCAAAACAGCAGAACTAGCTGCACGGTGGCACTCCGACTACAAACACCATTACCATGTGCAAAACCACTGCAAGGGACGCATGGTTCATCTGAAGCTGAAGGCATGATAAATATGAAGAGTGACACTAAGATACATAAAGCTCTCCAAGAAAAAGGATTTCATTATAAAAAATTAAATATTGCTCTGTAACAGTCACAGCTATGATTATGCAATACAATATGCTAAATTACAATACGTACTTCATTATTAATAGAATTTATTTTTACAGATCAAATAGCCAAATACACATTTTTATAAGAGCCGAATAGCAAACGTGGAAGAAGTTATAGGCAACAATCATGGTGACATTCTGCAGTCCAAGAACTGAGGCAATATGAACATTAAGTACAAGCCTATTTTAAATATCTTTACATCAAACATACAATAATGTGTAGGAATTCCATGTTGTAGTCTGATGAAATACTAATAATGCTTAAAAGAAAATTATATATGCTGTATACAACCCAGTTAAAAGCAGTGTCTATATTTCATTTTATCCTAGCAATCTAGTATCATGTAAGTCTTCATATTAGCACAGAAAACAAGGTTCTTTATACTCCTTTGCTTCCTAAGAGATCTTGTTATGTATATGAAATGCTAGCATTATTAGATGATGCATATTAAGCATTATTTCCTATAATGTGAAGCAATATACATTTGCAAACCAACTGCAAATAAAGCAATGACATAGATTCTATTAATGAGCATTATACTAAATTATAATATAAACAAAATTGAATTTAAAAATGTTAATAAGTGAAATAATTTGGGAGAAAAAACAACAGAAGATCATTCTTCACCCATATACTGGCAAGCAGTGCACTAAATTGTAGCTTCCATCAAATTTATGCTATCTCCTATTTCATCACCCCAGAAAGTAAACCATTGGATTTATGGTGCATCTTTGAAAAAAATAAAAGTACTTGAAAAGATTAAGTGTATGCCACCTGATATACAGATATTATCTAATTTTCAGCAAGCAAAATGCCAAAGATTTCTTTAAGTGAATACTTTCCAGTTATTTAAAAGGTGAGTATTTATCAAAAAGTTTTGTGGATAAGAAAGCAGAAAGTACTGATTTTTTACTATACCTACTGTGCCTATAAAATGAGACAGCACTGATTTGATCAATTCTATTTATGATCCATAGCTGCAATATCATTAAAAATATTATGGAATAGATATAAATAACACTTAATCCTTAATACATGTAATGGTGCTGTGACATACACTTGATTTTTTTTTAATGCAGGGAGTATAAAGAACTTCACATTCTTTTTAATGTATGAATAAAATTTATTGCTCCCTTTTAAAGTATTTATATAAAATATTTCTACTTTATTCAACTGAAATAAATATAAAAAAAAATCTGGAACAAGATGATTAGAAGCAAAATGAGAAAGCAACAGATTTAACCATAACCGCCAACGGTGAAGATTGATGGGTCACGTTACTTGTTTCTTAGCAAAACTACAATATAGAACACTGTAGCACAACGTACTAAAGTCTCTTTGTCTTTTAAAAAAACTTTTGCCCTTGATACCTTTCAGTAGGGCAGCTTGAACAGTTCATCGTCACTTCCAAACCCCTCTGGAGATGAGACGATAAAATTCTTCGGCAATCAGAGCCAGGACAAAGGGCTTTCTCGTGCTATTTCCTTGTTTTCATGTTTGCTGGCTTAACATCATTGTGTACGCGCACGACTTCAGTATCTAACATCAGATGCGATGACGTTCAGAGCTGGCAAACAGAGAAACAGCATGAGAAAAGCCCTTTCCTGCATCATTTTCCCCAAACATTGTAAAATTTGCCTCCAAATTTCTACCACATCAATCACACTGTGGTTTGAGGAGCACTGAAATACTGCAGCTCTAGACAAGAAACCATTTTTGGTATCTGTGTGTTTCAGGTTTCTATACATACGCAGAGAGCTTCTTACACACAATTGAACTGTTAAAAGGGAGCCATATAAATCACTTCTAAGCATGCTAGTCTGCTATTGGAGCTTGCAAACTATTTCTTTTAACAGTATCAGACCAAAACCCCCAAGTGCTCTACTTGGAATAGTTAACAGCAGACTACCATACCATACCACCTAGAACATATTATACAGGCTTTTATCACCTTTGATCCATAGCATGAAGAGTTAGAATCCTCAAACCTCAAAGAAATTAGATCCATTCAGATTAATTTTCCCACAGGAAAGAAAATGGATAACACACTCCCCAAAACACTAGTTCCTTAGCGCTCAGGAAAACGTTATCTACTGCAGAGCAGCGAGCCATAAACCTGGGGGAAAACAGGTCAAGACAGGCTGCATGGCTGACAATGGGTTGAACTGAAACAGTTGTGAGCAGGTAAGTGTAAGGCATCTGACTGAAAAATCATATTGAAATGCACTTAGTTTTAGGAATAGTCATTACATTTATTTCAAATAGTTTTTTTCAAAGTGTTCCACAAAGGGAAAAACATTTCATTGACCAGTTTTGCTTCAGTGGAATTGCACAAGTAACTGCTCACTAACCCAGGAGCATCAGCATTTTCTTTATCCTTCAGTTAATTTTTTCCTCCAGATGTGAATTTCAGTTCCTTCTGAAATGCATGTACATGGCAGCACATCAGAATTACCAGCAAAATTACTAGTCATAAAATTAAGAGAAAATAACAAGATAATAAAATAAGCAGGATTATAGTAATCACTTCTGAAATGGCTTTTAGAAATGGCTTATACTAACATCTATTTATCTGATATTTAAAAGAAAATATCCTTGCAAGTGATTTACTCCAGAATATGGGCATGTCACTCTGGTAATTCTATCTACACTCTTGTTTTTATCAGGGGTGTCAGTACTGCCAGTTCATAGTTACAGGATACTAGATTAAACTCTCTAGTCTCACTGTTATAATCAAACACTGATTTCTACACAAAGGTACTGATACTGAAAGTCTGCAGAGCTAATATGTTCAGGGGGAAAAAAAAAAAAAGAGACACAAGATTCTTAATTTATATATTACACATTGGTGTCATAGAGAGCGAGGAGCTATAACATTGTTTCCTTGCATTTCGAGCAGTACCCAGAAAACCAAATGCACCATTATTGTAAGCACATCCAAGCAGTCATCAGTAAGAGTAGGGCCCCCCAAAAGGCAACGTATTTTAAATGAGGTCTACTTTCCATTTAGATTTCTCCATTTAGTCTCCAACAAACAAGTGTCAGGAGAGACCGCTGCTCCATTTAAAACCTTCCTTCCCATCCGTAGGTGTAAGTGCACACCCGAGAGAGTCCTGATGACTCCGGTCAGGTTTACATCAGCAGCCAGGCCCGCTCCCTCCCTCAGCGGGATCCTGACCAGGGCTGCGAGCACGGGAGCTGGGAACGCACGGACAGGAGGCCGCCGGCACGCGGGAGAACCGAGGAGCGTGCAGCCCAAAGCACGAGGAGAACCTCCGGGTAGAGCAACGGCACGGAGAGCACGGACGGGCTCCAACTGCGGCAGCTCCCCCGGGATGCTGCCGGGAACAGGCCTGTCCGCACTAAGAGCAAGGCAGGCAACATGCGTTCCAAACTCCCACATTGAAAACGACAATCCAAACAGTCACAGGACCCTTCCCCAATCACTAGCTCTTTTTTTTCGAGGAGGTTTGTACCACTCTTGAAATGTCTGTTTTTCTAGTTTAAAAAAATTCTGAGATAACATTAATTAAAAGAAAAGGAAATTCTAACAAAATTATAGTAGAAATTTCTTTGAACCCCAGCTGTCAAAGATCACAGGCTCCTATAACCACGAATGATTCAGTTATACCGTCTGGTATTTAAACAGAAAGGAGAACTGTGTAAATGTTAGTCAAAATATTTAAGGAAAGATTTCAGATTTTCCAAATGGATTTCATACTGCATGAAAAAGAGACTGCCTTTGTCCTTGCTGTCTATTATGCCGATGCAAATGCCTAAAGAGTTAAAAGATCTGTGATAGAATGGAGTGTCACAGACAGTCTGATCTCACCGAGGTAAGTGTCAGAAGCGATTGAGCTTTCATCAAGTTTGCAGAAAAATGTTAAATCTGCTCTATGCTTTTCTGCCCAAGAAATATATTCTTCTAAGACACCCACAAATAATGAAATGTTGCGAGTCTATGACACTGTAAGCTGCCTCTGTAGTAAAAACACTGTAAGTTAGCTTGATTTTAAAAGTCTCCAAATATCCTAATTTGAAAAATGTTCATGACCAAGAGCTCCGTTCACAATTTATGGCTAGGTAAAGCTTCTGCTGTGCAATCACTTAACTGCATCCCAAAAGAAAAGAGTCTGTTCGGAGGGTTCCAACTCTGGACTCCAACTCTGTCACTGCTATGGATTAACTCCTGCTGTGTGACTTCAAAATAATACCGGTAATACCTCGCTCCCTCGCCCTGTCTCCCACATAGATTACACAGAGAAGCTTGATTTCTCCCTTCTGCTGTGCATCACATCAGAAACATCCTTGTCCCTCTTAGTGCAGTCCATGACCCAGTGTATCCTCAGCTGCTTCTGGAGTGTCCAGCACCCCCAGCAAAGGTGTCCTTCCTAACACAAAATTCAGCTGTTGCTTTGCTGTATTTATTAGTACACATGAAGACAGAAGAGACTTTGTGATTTTTAGCAGGAAAACCTTTCAAGTTCTTGTGCAGTTTTGCCAGTACAACTTTTGTTGTGACTTTGTGATTTTACAGATCAATTTGACAAATTAGCAGCTACGGAAAGTAGTAATTTCCTTTCTTTAAAAGAACTGAATCAATACTATTCCATGTATTTTACCTTTAACTCACTGTTATTTCAAATATTTGAGCAGGAACTTAAGTCTTTCATAGACAAAATTAATATAAGGCTAATTGGTATCAGCATCCATTAGAAACTGGAGAGACACCTTCATACATAGTGCATTTTGCCTAGGCTCTTCCTTTAGAGAGATTTTGTCTTGTAACATGATGTACCAGTAACACTAATAACTGCTAGTGATTAACAGCTTTTTTTTCTCCACATTACAATTCTTTTTTTATTATTATTTTTTATAAACCAGCACACTCACTTTAACTGAAATTATTATTCTCACTTCTAACTGTCCTGCAGTTTTTGCCAATAGTGAGTGTGTGACACAGCAGCCTCCTCAGGCACAAACAGCCTGTCAGTGTCCAGGGCTGGAGCACGGCTGGACAGCGGGATTTCTGAAGCACCACGGGAGAAGCCCATTTCGGTTTTGTTTAGATTTTTTACTGCATAACTGTAAGAACTCTAAGAGACTGTCCTAAAATGACCTAATGACCTGAAAGGAGACAAAACTGTGCAGGCTACAATATAAAAATAGCAGGATAGGAACAAGACCAACCACTTAAATCTACTAAAGTTGAAGAGGTATTTTATTTGCTTATATGTATCATGAGATATGATTCTGTCTCTGCGATCAAAGACCCACATAAAGGACTCAATGCTCTTTCTTGTCCCCATACCACTTTTATTCATTAATGAAATTACCTATATTTTAGTCAGGTAACAGAAATATTAATTCAAATGTTCAGAGACAAGCATGTCTTTCCCACTAGTGTTAAAGGCCATCTTGAGAGCATTAATTTCCCCAGCACTGTGGTCATTTCCATAATCAAAAGAAGGATAACTGTAAATTTATCAAATGGGCACAACAGCAAATATTAATCTCTTTCATATTCAAAGTATCATAACAATATAATTTCAGGTAAAACTAAATTAAGGTAAGCTAGTTTCAGGTCATGAGTAGTTCACAAAAGAATATTACTGTGCTTTTCCAGAAAGGAACCTCCTGTCATCAACCTTTAAGATACAAATGAAAAGGAATTACTTATTTCCCACACCAGTTCAGCAAAAAGCAATTGTTTTTCATTCTGCTTTAAAAGCCTCTTCTGATGAGAGGACTACCTCAGTAAACTCTGGAGAGCTCGCTTGCTTTGTTACCAGGTATAACAACAACAACAAAGTGGTTTGGAGCTTGCAACAGAACACCACTTTTGGCTCAGAGGAGCTATACCAGAAGCTGTATTATACCCTACTATACTCAACACTTTGGATTCAGTAAAAAAAATAACATAGATGAGGTAAAAAAATGTAGATGATTTCAGAGATGCTGAAAACAGCTCTACTATCCTCAGTTAGACAAATTCAAACAAATGAGAAGTTTTTCTAAATTGTAAAGTAACATATTCAAATACCTTTAGTAGAAAATATTAAAATTTCAAAAACCATAATATTTCCATCCCTATCACTGAGTTATAAATTAAAAACTTAAAAAAAAATCTGTTAATGCATCTCTAAGATTCAAGTCCCATGAAGCAGCAGGAACTGGAGTACTACATAGAAGTGTGCTGTTAAGGGGAGCAAAAATATATACCTATACCAGAATTCTCAGTAATGTAATCAGTAGCACATTCTGCTATAGCTATACTGATAAATATAGATATACTAAGAAAAAGAAGAGAGAAAAAAATCCAAAGCTTCAACAGGGATAAAGAGAGACTTATTCTTTCAGAGGATTTGTTTCTGAGCAACAATATGAAAACAAAGCCTTATTACTAATGAAGCTTTTCAAAGCACATTAGAGCCAGCTTCAAGCAATTCAAAGCCTTCTGTAATATCTTAAGGAAAAAAAGGCATTTTATAATATTTTATTTTAGTTTTAAGCTGAGGATCCTTTAGACATTTCCCATACTGTACAAGATGTCTCGAGAGCAAAAACCTATTTAGCAGGTCTAGCAGCAGCAGGAGGAGTGATTGTCCTGATGCCTCTAACGCTCCCCTGGCTTTGGCTGATTACCAGCCTGCCACATGTAAGCAGGCCAGCGTGGTGCCAGGCTGACAGCGCTACCGACAGCCCCAGCGGAAAATCCTTTCCTGCTTTTGAGAGACCTTGAAGTAAAGCCCTACTCAAAGGAAGGCGGCACTTCCAGACTCCATTAATATTAAGAACCACTTATCAGACCCTGTAAAGCTTTATTGCTTTCCACCTGGCCGGGATTACTTCGATTCCTGAGCATGTAACGCTGGAGAGGGCAGCCCCATGGCGGCCGCCTGCGTGGCGAG